AATTTAAAGAAAAGTTCGCGAGTTTAATTATACGCTAATAAGTTAATTAGTAATTAATAATTAATTCTATTAATATATATAATAAAATAAAATAAAATAAAATTTTAAATTTTAAAATTTATATATATAGCTAATTATAAATTTAGAGTTATTACGCTTGTCAGAACTAGCATAGATGCGATACTAGTATAGGTGAGGTAGATTAAGGATAATAAGGCTACCGAACTATGTAGGTGGGAAGGAGGCATGATATGGTAGGGGATGCCTCCGCCAAGGCCCGCTAGCCATAGGGCTGAGTGGTGTGTCAAGGGTACGCTCGTAACACTACCCCCCCCTCTCAAATAGCCATGGCCCCCATGGCTGGTAGACCGGAGATGCACGCCCATTGCTTGCCCTGTTTCTCCAAACATCTATAGTCCCTGCAGGCCTTGACTGGAGAAGATTTGCCGAGGTGTAGCGGTAGTAGTCGAAATCCGAGTCTTGGCGATTTTTGCCGGATCGCATTGGTCTTGACTGTACCATGCCCACATTGTCCTTTAGAGATCCTGGAGATATAGCTATATCTTGCCTGCGTACCAGCAAGATTCTCCGAGTTCTTCTCCTTGCCCAGTCTTCTTGCCATAGTCCTTCGATAGAATTGAAGAAAATCCAACGCATGCATGTGTTATGAAACCCCCTCAACACCAGTTGGCAGCCTGGCCTGGGAGCTTCACTGTAGATTTGCCCTGTGTCTCCCATACTCTTGCCATCAAAAATCCATCCTCCATTCCATCCTTTGTCTCAACGCACTTGTCGATTCGTAGGTCTGTAGGGAGGTAGGGAAAGAATTGAATGTGGTGAATGCCATTTGGTAGCAGGCTCACTATGTGTGTTGCCGACATGCTCAGTGAAGAGGTCGAATCGTAGTCGTTTCGGGGCTGTTCCCGTCGCCATTGTAGCAGGCTCACTATGGTGTGGGGGGTGGTGTTTGTCTGTCAATTTCTTTCTGATTCGCTTGCAGTACGAATGGTCCAGCGGTGCTTTATCCCTCCTGCTGTCCAGAGGCCGTTCCGTCATGCCGAAACGAATTACCCGTTTGGTGGGCTGACCCAAGGATACGATGCCTCAAGTTCCTGTCTTGACCTCAACCGGTCGTGGTGTCTTGATCTCAAGTTAGTATCTTGACAAAGCCCTTGCCAGCGCGTTTGTTTATTAACCATTCGTCCGCTAATCCGAATGGGCGTGAGTGTGCGTTGATTGGCCCGTATGTGTTTCTCTTCGCCGGGTGTACGAAGGAGCCTTATTATAATGTCAGGACCAGCATAGGTACGATACCAGTATGGGTGAGGTAGAACTAGGATAATAAGGCTACCGAACTATGTATGTGGGAAGGAGGCATGATATGATAGGGGATGCCTCCGCCAAGGCCCGCTAGCCATAGGGCTGAGTGGTGTGTCAAGGGTACGCTCGTAACAACGCTCTTTAATTAGATTAATTAAATTATCGCGAGTAAATAAATTAATATTTATAATTATAAAAAAAATATAATTAAATAGTCTTAATTAAAAAATAGATATATATTATTTAATTTTAGAATAACTTTTTTATTTTCTATTAAAATTTTAAGATTTTTTTTTAAAATTATAGAACGAAATAAGAACTTTTAGATAAAAAAAGAATTTCTAAATTTAATCTGATAATTATTAAAGTATAAGAAATTTAAATATCGCTTATTAAAGTTCGCTCGATAGTCGAATAGCTCGCTTATTAAAGTTTACTTATTAAAGATTACTTATATATTTACTTAATAGTCTTAATTAAAAAAATAATTATAAATTTAATATATAAACCTTTACTCGTAAAAAATATAATATCTTATAGATTTTAATAGAATTTTTTATTTTTCAAGATAATAATAGAAATCTATTATTAAATATAATACTTATTAATTAAATAAGAAAATAAAATATTTAAACTATACTTATAATACTTATAATTTTATAATAATAGATTTTTTTTATAATTTAATAGAATATAATTTTTAATATAATATAATTTTCTAAAAGTATAAATTAAATACTTTATATAGTATTAATTATAAAGATAATTAGAATTCTAAATTAAATACGAATCTAAGATTAATATAATAAATAAATATCTTATAGATTTTAATTAAAAAAATTTATTTTCTAAGATAATAATAAGAATCTATTATATAAATAAAGTATTTATTAATTAAATAAGTAAGTATAATATATATTTATATTAAAACTATAATTATAATAGAGATAATTTTATAATAATAGCTTATTTTTATTTTTTAATATAATATAATTTTTTAGAATTATAAATTAATTATCTTATATAATATTAATTATAAAGATAATTAGAATTCTAAGTCGAGAATTAATATAATAATTAAATATATATAGATTTTAATAAAATCTTTTATTTTTAAGATAATAATAAGAATTTATTAAAATATATAATTATTATTAATTAGATAAGAAAATATAATATATATTTATATTAAAACTATAATTATAATATAAATAATTTTATAATAATAAATAACTTTAATTCTTTAATATAATATAAATCTTTTAAATTATAAATTAAATATATTATATAATATTAATTTTAAAGATAATTAGAATTCGAAGTAGAATATAATTTTATAAGTAATATTATAATGAAAAGTTATATTATAAATTAAAGAAGTTAATAATTTAGTTATAAAGTTTTCTATTTTATTATTTATAGTAGTTTAAAAATCTATCTAAATTAAACTATAAGCTTTTAACTTATTATTATACTTATATATAATTTAATATTAAATAATTTTAGAAGTCTATATAAAAATAGTATATTCTTAATTTATAATATTACGCGTTTATTATAAATTGTTATTAATTAAATATCTATATTCTATTATTAGTAAATTTTATATAAAAATAATAAAAAGTTTTATTTAAAAAATTATTAGATAGAAAAGATTTTATCGTCTTCTATATCGTCTCGATAGTAGAATTCTATTAATAATACTTAATATTATTCTTAAATTTATTTATTATACTTAATAAAATTTCTTAAATAAGTTTTTAAAATAAAGCTTTTAAAATTAATAGCGTAATCGATTTATAAAAATATTTAATTTCGCGAAAGATAATAGCTAGTAAATTATAATTAGAAAGATAATTAGAAATATATATAAAGCTAAATTTATTATCTAGATAAAATCTATATAATTTTCTTACTTTAAATATATAATTAGCGATACTTTTTCTCTTATTTATACTCTTTTCGCTTATAATAGATTTTTTAGAAATCTTATTACTTAACTTTCTAATTACTTTTACTATTAATAGTATTTAAGATACTCTTTTATCTATTATAACTACCGCGGAAAATATAATAGATTTTCTCTTTCTAATTTTTTTTTTTTTTTTTTTTTTAATAATTTACTCGTAGATAAATATTCTTTAACTATTATAATTTTAATATTTTCATTATATATATTATTAAAATTTCTATTTTTATAAATAATATCTCGATTTTAAGAGATAGTCTAATCTTAAAATAGAGTTATATTATTATTATTAAATATATCGTTATCGAATATATATATTAACTCTTTATTCTTATTAATCTATTTCTAAATTTATCTAATTTAGAAAGTTAGATAATTAAAATAATAATTAAAAAAGAGAAGATTATATTTAAACCCTTTTTTATTATAATAATTAGAATTATAAATGTTATTTCTTCTTCTTCTAGTTATATCAATTACTTATATATTAAAATTAGTAAATTTATATAAATATATTATAAAACTTATCGCTAGATCGTAATATTATTATTTTTATTATATATTCGAAGTTTTTAATCTTAGGCTTCTTTTATAATAAAGTCTATCTCTTCTTTTTTTAATATAATTAAATTTATTAACGAATTACTATCTAAATCTACTAATTAATTACTTTTAGAACTTTATAATTAATTACTTTTAGAATTTCTTAATTAAATATCTCTAGAACTTTATAACTAACTACTTTTAAAACTTTCTTATTAATTATCTCTAGAACTTTCTAATTAACTACTTCGAGAACTTTCTAATTAATTATCTTTAGAACTTTCTAATTTATTCGATATTTTTTTATTATTAAGAAATTAGATAGCTAGTTAAGAGTTTATTAATTCTATATTTATTATTATATCTTTTTAAATATAAGTATAAAATAAATAATATTCTAAAAGTAAGCGGCTTAATTAATATTCTAATTATCTTTCTAATTATTCTTTAAAAGAGAAAACGCGTATAATAAATCGAAAGCGTAAAATAAAATCTAAAAAAAGATAAATTTATTTTATAGGATTCTTAGATTTAAATTCTTAAAAGCTTAAAATAAATATTTATTATTATATAAAAGCTAAGAAAAGTTTATTATTAATAATAATCCTTAACTATTCTAATTAGATTATTAAATTTAAAAAAAATCGATTAAAAGCTAGCTTTATAATATTAAAAATTAGCGTTAAATTTCTTTATAAATAAGAATTTGAAAAAACGCGAAAACGCGCTAGTAAACTAGCCTGTTTTTTAATTAGCGTATTCTTATATTTTTTTATATTTTAATCTTTTCTAATACTTTTTTTAATTATATTATCTTCTACAAGTAAAGGCCCATGAATTAAATTCATGGAGTTGGATTTTTCTAAGTCGAATCGAATTTTAGCCCTAGCCCTAAGTTAAATCGAACTCTAATCGCTTGCTGTGCGTTTTTAACCTACATATAGATATATATGTGCGGAGAGAGGCGCGCTAAGGCCTAATTAGGAAGGTGTATCGAGTGTAGAGAATTGATCCGTAATAATTGCCCACAAAAAACAGAGAAAGGCCATGTCCTTATGGCAAGAAGTATCGAAATACCGGAAAGAAATGGAGATAACATGCCAATTAGTGATGTGAATCCCACATTATCTCCTGCCGCAGTGAAATCTTTCGAATAATGAAATAGCTGTCAGAGCAAGACATCGGACGGTTTCAATTCGTCCAAATATGTATCGTCCGATGTTCCTCCTGCAGAGGCCCAATTGGCTGTGATCGTCGCAGTAGATCCTCCTCTTGTGACGTCATTGCAGTGATATACCATATTAATGTAGTAGGGATGACAGGCCAAGTTGCAGTGGTGTTCTCCGCTTGCTGAGTGATGATTTGATGTGGAACCGTGGATGACTGATATGACGTGGGATCTTGGAGAGCTGAGCCGTGTTCTGGACGATAGTGGCCTTGTTGCCGCTTGGTTTCTCCGCAGTGTTCTCCGCATTTGCCTGTTGTAGTTCCTCCTCTTGCTTCTTAATGCAGTGGGGATGACAGGCCAAGTTGCAGTGGTGTTCTCCGCTTGCTGAGTGATGATTTGATGTGGAACCGTGGAGAGCATGTGACGTGGGATCTTGGAGAGCTGAGCCGTGTTCTTGACGATGGTGGCCATGTTGCCGCTTGGTTTCTCCGCAGTGTTCTCCGCATTTGCCTGTTGTAGTTCCTCCTCTTGCTCCTCAATGCAGTGGGGATGACAGGCCAAGTTGCAGTGGTGTTCTCCGCTTGCTGAGTGATGATTTGATGTGGAACCGTGGAGAGCATGTGACGTGGGATCTTGGAGAGCTGAGCCGTGTTCTTGACGATGGTGGCCATGTTGCCGCTTGGTTTCTCCGCAGTGTTCTCCGCATTTGCCTGTTGTAGTTCCTCCTCTTGCTCCTCAATGCAGTGGGGATGACAGGCCAAGTTGCAGTGGTGTTCTCCGCTTGCTGAGTGATGATTTGATGTGGAACCGTGGAGAGCATGTGACGTGGGATCTTGGAGAGCTGAGCCGTGTTCTTGACGATGGTGGCCATGTTGCCGCTTGGTTTCTCCGCAGTGTTCTCCGCATTTGCCTGTTGTAGTTCCTCCTCTTGCTCCTCAATGCAGTGGGGATGACAGGCCAAGTTGCAGTGGTGTTCTCCGCTTGCTGAGTGATGATTTGATGTGGAACCGTGGAGAGCATGTGACGTGGGATCTTGGAGAGCTGAGCCGTGTTCTTGACGATGGTGGCCTTGTTGCCGCTTAGTTTCTCCGCAGTGTTCTCCGCATTTGCCTGTTGTAGTTCCTCCTCTTACTCCTCCTCCTGTAGAGTATCAGACTGAGTGGCTAGCTGAGTGGCTGACTGAGTGGATAACTGAGTGACTGGTTGACGATCTGACTGAGTGGATTGCTGAGCTGATAGGGTAGGTAGTATTGACTGAGCGGCTGTTCGGGCTCTTTTTGAGGGTCTTTTAACGCGTTTTGAGCAGTAGTAGGTAGCTGTTGGGCTCGCTTGCGGCCTCGATTGCCAGCAGTAGCGGATTTGTCGAGGGGTGGCCTGGGGGCGTTAGTAAGGGGTTCAAAAGACGGGCGGAAGGGATACGTGCCTGAAGCGTTTAGTAACGTTTCCGCGAGGGGTATCGAGGACGATTGTGTTCATATTGGTAAATTGATAGAATGGTGGAAGAAGAATGGTTACACAAACAGGTGGAAGGATTATTATTATCCGATCCCGGACGCGTCTGGTGTGACTACCATGACTACCATATTTGAATGTCCATTTAATCCACTAATAGTAGGCCAAACTTCATAATTTTTACAGCGTTAGAAAGCGCAAAGCGAGCTCTACAATTTGAGGAATTATGAAGAAACAGCATTCGTAGGGAGCTGGTTATTTCAGAGGATAAGACTTCTGCACATAGATTTTTGTAGATTTTTGATGGTTGCGGACGCTAATTTATTTACCCGCGGTGTCTAACCAAAAAGCGTAGACCTGACGAATTGATGATTGGCTGCACATACAAATTCAAGGTTTTCTAGTTCAGCCCTACCTTATTCTATTATATATACTGATAGTAATATAATTCTATTTAAATTTTCTTATTATTTCTATTATAATACTAATATACTCTTTATAATATATTCTTTAATATCTTATAATAAGCTTTTTATATGAAAATTATTATTATAATTATTTTAAATAAGAATTTAATTAAATAAATAAATTTATAAATTTTCTATTATTTCTTAATATTATAAAAATTAATATTATTAATAAAGATAATATCTCTAATTCGCTTTATTATATTACCTCTAAAAAAATAAAAATATTTTAAAGATTTAAGTAATAGTAAAATATAAAAAATAATAGATAAATATTTTAGAAATAAGAATATAGTAAAGTCGCGTTAATATTTAATAAGTTTAAATATATATAAACTATTAAGAGTAATTTTAAGAAAATAAAATAATATGAATATAATAGCGAAATCTATAGCTAAAAAAAGACTTCTAGCTTTCTTAAAATATTAAAAAGTTATTTTTAAAGAAAAGAAGAAAATAGAAGAGAGAATTATCGAATATATTATATATAATTAACTTACTTATTATAAATTCTAATTATTATTTTAATTATTTTAATATTTTTCTAATATTATAACTAGTATTTACGCGTAATATTTTATATATTATATTAAAGATAATAAATTTTATAAATAATTAAATTTATTAGATATAATTTTAATTCTAAATTTTATTAAGAATATTAATATAAAGCGCGATAAGTAACTTAATATAAAAGAAGAAAATAAATATATAATTATCGATATATAATTAAATATTATTAATTAAAAGATTAAGTAATTTAAAAATTCTTAATTTTTTTTAGAGAATATAAATTTTTTAATAACGTTAGTAGATAAGATATAAGTATAAAAAAATTAAATATTCGTCGATATTTTTTTATTATAATAACGAGTATAATAAACTATAATTAAATCTATTAGAAAAAAAATTAAATATCTAGAAATTTTCGAAGATATAGTAAACTCTTAAAAGAATATTTATTTTTATTACGTAGGAGTCTCGTATAACTTATAAAAGAATTAAAAAAAAAGAATTATTAAAATAATATTTATTAATATAAGTTCTTTTCTATATTAATTTTAATTTTAATATTCTAATTTATATTTAAATAGATTTATTATTTATATACTAATCTTACTTATATTAAACTTACTTATTAATTATCTTAGATTATAAAGTCTAAGAAAGTTTACTATCTTCTTCTCTTATATATATTTTTTATTAGAATAAAATATATAATTCTTAGAAACTATATAATATAGATACTTAAGAATAAAAAAGAATAAATATTGTTATTAAAACTAGCTAGATAATAATTTAAAAATTATAATATAGTAAGATATAGATTTATATCTAATAAAGCGAGCGAAGAGATATAAGAGACTTTTAAGCTTATTAATATTAAATTAATATATAAGAATATCGCTAATATACTTAAGCGATTTAAGCGTTTCTATAAAAGTATAAATTATCTAAATCTAAAATCTTAATAAGCTAGTTATATAATTCTAATTCTAAATTAAAAATAAAAATAAAAATATTTTTCGCTATTATAATTATCTTTAAATAATAATAATTAAAAAGATAATTAGAATTCTTTATCGCTATAAAAATATATATTATAATTTATAATTTTTTATATAATAAATTCTTTTCTTAGCTAAATTATATTTAAAAGTCTTAAATAATAAAATATTATTTAATACGCGATTAAATATTTATATAAAAATAAGATATAAATTTTAATTTAACTAATAGACTTAATAAGAAAATAGAAATAAGCTTTTAAATAGATTAGATAAAATATAATAGAGAAGCGATAAATATCTTTTAAGTCTAATTATTATTCTAATAAATAAATTTATATTTTAATAATATTATATAAAAAAAATATAAGCGTAGTTTAGAGAAAGTCTAGAGTTTTACTCTTTATATAAATTATTATATATATAAATAAAGATAAAAGCTTTAGATTATAAGAGTATAGATAATATTAAAATCAAATAAAATATAAGTATTAAAAATAATTCTATTATACGCGCTAATAATTAAATAAACTTTATCTTTTAAGCTACTTAAAAGTATAATATAAAATTTAATAATAAACTTAATTATAATTTAGATATAATAATATTAATACGCTAACTAATAAATATCGAGCTATTATAAAAATCTTAAAATATTAAATAAAATTATATCTAGAAGATAAAATTATAAATCTTTATTAATATATAATTAATTTAATATATAATAATAAAAAGTTTACTACGAAAGCTACGCTATCTAGATTAATATTTTAATCTTAATTATTATTCTTACTATTATATAAGTAATATAAAATTATCTCTTATTCGAGTATATTTAATTTTTAATTTTAATTATTATTATAGACATCGTTAATTTATTCTAAAATTATTAAATATACTTTTATATACTTTCTATATCTCACTCTTTTTTTAATTAAATAACGATTAAACTCTAAATTAAAATAAATACTTAGAAGAAAAAAGTTTATAAATACTTAATTATATAATTTTATTTCTTTTATACTTTTTATAATTATTAGAATAATCGATAATATATAGTTATATCTTATAATTATATATATAATAATTAACTAATTTAATAATTAAAAATAAATATACTCTTCTCTTTACTTTAAACGACTTAGCTAAAATAATCGCGAGATCTAGATTCTTTTTTTATAATATAATTTACTTTTTATATATCGTATAAAGATAAATATCTATTTAAATAGAGATTATTAGAGTTAATTATAAAGTATAATAATAAAAGATTTACTCTTAAATTAACGAATTAGAAAAACTTCTATTATCTTATATAATACTTTAAAAGTAAATCTTTAAATATAATAGCGTTTTAATAGATCTTAATTAAGGATAATCTAATAAACTAAATACTAAAAGAGAAGCTTTAAGATTATAAAATTAGTTAATTTTTAATAATAATAAATCTCGCGTAAAGCTTAAGTTATAGTTTACGTTAATTATATATAATAAATATAATAATAATTAGAAAAACGTATTATCTAGTTTCTATTAACGCTTTAATATTACTAAAATAAAAGTAATATCTATTAAAATAAAGGCGATATTTATTAAAGTAGAGATAACGGCGATAGAAGCGATAATAATATCTAATAAATTCTTTATTTTAATATTATATTTAATACTTTAGAATAATATTAGCTTTTTTAAAGAGCTATTAATAATAAATTAAGTATATATAAATTAAGCTCTTCGCGTAATTTATCTATATATTAGCTTAAAGTTATTAAAAGATAAAAAATAAATATACGACTTAATAACTACGTTATACTTTTAATATTATTATAATAATATTAAGTTATTTAAATAGAAGTCTAATATATAAAAAAGATAATCTTATAATAAGAAGAATTAATATAAAAAAGAAAGTCTTAAAGAGAAAGAAAAGTTTAGATATCTATCGCGTATACTAAATTTTTAAATTATTTTAAATTATCTAGCTTAAATTAGATATTAATAAAATATTTTCTTTTTAATTTTAAAGATTTAAGCTTAAGCGAAT